CAATAGCCAAATATCACGAATACAAGCAGTCTTTCTATTGCATCTTCATAGATTTCACTAAAGCCTATGACAGCCTTGACAGGAATAGATTATGGGAGATAATGGAGAAACAGGGAATACCCAATAAGCTAATCAGACTCGCAATATTAAGTGTAAAGGATTCAAAATGTAAAGTTAAAGTAGAAGGACAGTTATCAAAGGACTTTAGTGTCAATACCGGCGTAAGGCAAGGAGATGGGATGTCACCAATGCTGTTTAATATCGCCTTAGAAGAAGCATTACAAAAAGTTAAATCCTCAGACATAGGCATAAAAATTGGAAAAACATTTAATATACTAGCTTTTGCAGATGATGTAGCCATAATGGCACACAAGAAGGATGATCTCAGAGAATTAATTAGAATATTAGTAGAAGAAACAGGAAAATTTGGCTTACAAATTAATGACAGTAAAACAAAATTCATGAAGTGCGGAAGATGGGATGGTAGAGAAGAAAATGATGAAGATGATGATGATATCTTACAGATAGAGAGCCACTCTTTTCAGTAAGTAAATAGTTTTCAGTATCTAGGAGTCCTATTATCAAACAACAATAATGAAGAATTGGAAGTAATAAACAGGTTAAATTCGGCTAACAGGTCCCTCCATGCATGCAATAGATTGTTAAGCTCAAAATTATTATCCCACAACACCAAATTACGTATTTATAAAACAATAATAAGACCGTTTTTACTGTATGGCTCAGAAACATGGGCAATGAGAAAAAAAAATAGAAAAGAAAATTATAACATTTGAAAACAAGGTTCTCAGGAAAATATATGGCCCGACGCTCGAAGATGGAATATGGAGAATGAGACACAACATCGAGATTAGAGAGCGCTATAAAGACCCTGACATCATAGCGGAAGTCAAGAGCAGAAGATTGAGATGGTTTGGTCATATTTCGAGAAGAGAGGAAGACTCCACTACGAGAAATATACTTGATAGAAACCCCGAAGGCAGGAGACCACGAGGCCGTCCCAAACTTAGATGGAAGGATCAAGTACAAAAAGATGTAAGAAGACTGGGAAGGAGTGAAAATTACACCAAAGACAGAGACATCTGGAGGCAGTGTGTGGGCGAGGCCAAGTACCTCTTAGGGTACCAGTGGCCACTCCAGTAAGTAAGTAAGTAAGAATAAGAGTATTGATGGTTGGCGTCAAGAGAGGAATTGAGCTACATTAGGTCAAAAGCTCACTTTACAGTGTGTGGTTGACATCTTCGTGCTCATAGAGTGCACCCGCCTACTATACATAAGAGATAACCAAAGCAGTATGAGAGTGAATGTAAATGTAAATATTGTAGATTACTTTTATTTTTTTAACATCATAATATTTTTATATTTCTATAATCAGTCATATACATTATTTTAGAGTGACTCTTTGATTAAGGTCTTGCTGTTTATGATTTTTGTTTATTTTTTTAATACAAGTTTCAGTTTTTGCTCGATTTTGAGCAACGGGTTATCTAGTTTAATTAAAAATCCTGTATGGTAGGTCTATAGCGATGTAAGAGAAAATAGATAAAAGGCGTCTTGTTAAAAATCTTATAGGCCTATGACATTATTTGTCTTTAGCTTTTTATTAATATACAAGAGGTTCTACCATAGACTAAGCAAGCAACACAAGTAGACTCCTCATCCCATTGTAAATTTTGAAGCTTGTTTTTTGTGTCTAGTTCATGTACGTCCACACTGATTGCTGGGGTAGACAACATTTTGTTTCTATTATTTTAGGGCTCTTTTCATGATTTGTGCTTTACTATTTGGTTATATAACTAGGAGACCAGTTATTATTTATGTATAAATCGTTTTATTTGGTTAAATGAGGTTTTAAATGACTAAAATAACAAGAAACAAATTGTAAACAAAACATAACCTCTACAGTTGGACGTACAGAACTAACAATAAAATTGGCTTCAGCTGTTCCATAAGGATGACAAATCTTCTAAGGGAGTATGATTTATCTATGGTTCTACCCACGAATTCACGGGTGAACAGAAGCCACCATTAAATTAATTTAATCAACTTTGACTTAATATTTCATTTAAAGGGCCCAAGTTCGATAAATTGTCATCTGAAAGGATGTTAAAAGCAGTGGAACCTTCATACCTTACGTCCTAAGGTGGCCGAGGTTGTACCTGAACTCGCAGCTCTCTTTCACGGCGTCTTTAATAATTTACTTTTCAATGAAATTGCGACCTGTTAAAGATCGGTGACAACCACTTGGAACGAACAACATATATGGTGTGTTAATCTCATATTCATCGTGTTTCGAACACCTTTAATCACTCACTTGTATCAAACCGCTAGAAATAGCTTCACTGTCCATTCGCCGCACTTCTTTTAAGAACATAAAAGTAAATAATAAAATAAGTAAACAAACATGTAAACAAACAAACTATATTGTCAATTGCATTGGCCAGCTGTTGTTCACTAAATTAATCGAATAATAATTTCCAAAACATGCAAGGCGTAGCCCTTTGGAAATCAGCCTGTGGGGCAGAGCCCTTAGGGAGTTCGTCCATATCAATACTTTTCCGCAAATCTACACACTCTAAGCTTCATTTTGATGTGCCATATGCCTATATTTCTATTTGGTAAATGGCCTTAACCGTTTACATAAAATTTGATTGTAGCACATTAATAGATTTCAAGACTCACATTGAAAAGTAATTAAATAATTTTGTCAGCTGATTTGACCAATAAAGTTATTCTATGATATTCAATAGCATTAAAAAGTTGAAAGGTTTACCAACAGGGTACAGCACTATTATATATTTTTCCATTGTGATTACAGCTAACTTGAAGTAAGCAGCATGAAAAAGCTGTGATACACTATGAGAACTGTCAAAGTAGGATTTTTTTACATTAATGTTTATGTTTTTAATTTAATACATAATTTGTGATATTGTGTGAATGCTTGATAATTTACTTTTTTATATGGTTCAGGTGCAGGGGTAGAACAGAATGGCTGTGGTAGGTGTGTAATACTATAGGCTACTGTATACACTATACTATTTCTGTAATAGCCTACTATAGCATACCGTAAATATAAATAACCAAATTCTCTCAAGCCTTATCCTCCCCCATTGCAAACGCAAAGCTAGAGTTTAACTGCATTAAGCATTTTATACTTATAAGCCAACCCCGTACAAAGAACGGGTACTCTGCTAGTCTTCTATACTTATATACCTAAACTTTCCGCCAACTGCCACTTATATTCCTAATATGCCTAGCCTATTATGGAGAACATGAAAACTGTTGTAGTTTACTTGTTTATGGATATATGTTGATAAAATTTGGCAAATTTATTTATTTCATCCTATACTATTGGCGTTTGGTCAAAAAACCCTTTTTACCTTCCCCGTAGCAGCAAACCTAAGCACTTGTTAAATCTAATGTTATTTAAATTGGTATATTGAACTGCTGATCATGAAGTTATTTATTTAAATTGGGAATAAATATGTCTTAATTATGGAAATATTTTGGAAATATTTTAGTAATAATGTAATCAGGCAAGTTGAAATTCGCTTAGTCTTCAGTTCAGTTCAAAGTTTTTACTTCATTTTTAAATGATAAAATCAAACCTAGACAAACAATAATTTACAACTCTTGGTTAATATTACGGTTTGAATTAAATAAAACATGTGATCTTGCTTCTAAAAAGCATTGCTCACTTAGCATTGATTATAAAAACATCTCATTATAAATACTATGTGAACAAACAAAAACATTAACACTCTTACTACTTAAACAAACAGAAACATACTTAGCCCTACTATTTATAGCTCCTACTATTCATGCACCAAAGGCAAGTGCATATACAACTTAGTTTTTTATTGTTGTTTTTAAATTGAAATAATTGTATATCAGATTAGAATTAGGAAATTTAACATCATTCAAACAATGTTTATGTCAAGGGTAGGCTAAGTTAAGAGGAGCTTGGTTGAAAATAATATAAATGTAATGACCATGAAACGCTCGTTAAAAGTTATTCATTATTAGAACATAATGTGAAATCTACAGGAAGTGTCAAAAGTTATAATATAGATATAGCCTAGTTATGAAATTATGATTTAAAAATTTGCTTAAAAAGGTAAATGGTGTGAACAATATTTCTCTCAAAATGGCAAAAAATATACAATTAATTATCTCCTTGAGAAAAAGTTTCAATTTTTAAGGTGTGTGTCCTACTCTAAACACATGTTAAGTGTTCAAAAATGTTAAAATGATTCAAGTAAATGTGAACCTTATAATTTCACAATTTTTTTAAACCAAAATCTTTCAAATACAATCATTCACATTAGCAAAATTTTAAATAATTAATTAGGGTTAGATACAGCAACATATATACAATCTCACTTATTTTATAAAATCAATAATCAATGAACCATCAAATATAAGAATAAATAAACATGTCACACGATTGTAGTGAACATTATATGCCTATTTATAAACCAGCTGAGGAATTGTGAATTAATGTGGTTTGACAGTTCAGCTTGTTTACATTTGGATGGCATAGCAAATTGCAAACATTGTATGTGTTCTCATGGCAGCCATGGAGACCAATCAATATTTACTTTTAAAATCCTCACCTCAGAACTTTTAAAGCCAAAGGGGCAAAGCCCACGGTCAGTATCAAAGTGTGAATAGTCCTATAATGGTCCTTGGTATGGTAGCTATTTTGTAAAATTTAAGCCCAGTCAGTTCAGTAGTTTATGCGCCTATTAGTAACACACATACAGACAGACACCACTAGATTTATATAATAGTATAGTAGTATAGATTGATTTTTCTTAGTTAACATGTTGTTGTTCACAATTTGTATTCGTGGTTAAAGTGTGTTCCTTATGTTATGTGCTTAATCTGTACCTTTAATATTAGTGAGTAAAGTGGTGTATAGATTTCATAACCATTATAACACGCTCTGTTGCTAGTTATTACTTATTTGTATTTTTCAGATCGGATGGCACAGAATCCCCTTTGTTGGAAGATCATCACAACTCAACACAACACGAAGATAAACCAAAACAACTAGTCAAGTATGGTGAACTTGTTATACTAGGGTGAGTAACTTATTAAATGTGTTTGCCAAACTATAAGTGTTTTACAAAATAACTCAGGTCAATATAACTGACTTAAAAAATATACAACAATTATGATACAAAAACAATGTGTATGACAAAACAAAATTATAGATTATATACAATATTTTACATCTTTTTCACGTTTCTTTTCAAAGCCAGGACCCCAGCTGTTTTAGGTCCAAGGGGAGATCATTGTAGGCCTACATCTTTGGGACAAAGTAAGAAAACCCTTTTATACCCACTTCTAGGCTTACTTTTGGAATCTGGAGCAAGGCGTTTTGCCGGGTCACACGCTGAGTCATCTCCCTACGTGCCATAAGCCTTTCCAGCAAGTACTTAGGCTCTTGCTGAACCAAGACTAGGGGTCTCAATCCAGGGATCCCGGCCTGAATTTTGATACCTAGAAATCCCGGGATTGGTGACTTTTAATCCAGGGATTAACGGGATTGCAAAACCTATGTTTATAATATTTTTTTTGTGAATTTGAGGACTTTTACTTACAGAAAATTAATAATACCCCCGCCGCAGCAAACCTGCAGACTTAGCGAATTTCCATTTGCCTGATTGGATTTACACTAAAATGTTTCCTTAAAAATATCACATTTGTTCCCTATTTAAACAGAATTAGTTTAACTAGTACTTAGGTTTGCTGCAACAGGGAGGGTAAACAAGTTTTTTTAAATGTAAAATTTTAAAAGGTACTGTAGTTTAGTAAGAAATTAATGTATTTTCCAAATTTTATCAAAATATGTTCATAACAAGCAAACTACAACAGTTGACTTATTTTCCATAAGAATAACATGGTAATTTTAAAATTACAATTTTTTTGAATTTTATCCGTAACAATTAGGCGCATAATAACGCTTCAATATACTAAATTATTTGTTTTTTTAAGCTCTACAAAATGGTTTAGAAAGAAATTGTGAAATTTTGTGTTTTTAGGGTCAAAAATGGGAAAAACCTATTTTTACCCCATAAAATCCCCCATAAACCCCCGTTCCCATAGTCCGATCATGCTGGTTCGCGAACTCATTCAAGTTTATCCCGCCTTACACCTTCAAACCAAATTTTATCAAAATCGGACAAAAATTAGTACTCAAGTTATCGTGTGGATGGACATATATATATATCTATATATAGATATATAAAAATTTGAACGAATGGGGTTTTGGCCTCTGGGGACATCAAAATGAAAAAGTAAATCGGTCCCGGGCCTAGGTCTTACCATGAGACCTACGGTAATAGCTACTTCCCTATAGGGAAATTCGCTAAAAATAGTACATTAAGAGGGTTCCCTACCCCCACCGAAAAACGTTAGAAAACCGCTTCGCGCGGTATCATATAGCGATTCTAGTTTTAACATTTAAATTGTGAACCAAACACCATTTTGTACATAAAGAGTGGTTCTACTAAGTTTGCTTTTAAAAAAATGTCTATGCTTACGCAATCAAGGGCACCGACTTGTCAAAGTTAGTGAACTTTAACTGTAAAGTTCACTAACTTTGACAAGTCGTTGCCCTTGATTGCGTAAGCATAGACATTTTTTTAAAAGCAAACTTAGTAGAACCACTCTTTATGTACAAAATGGTGTTTGGTTCACAATTTAAATGTTAAAACTAGAATCGCTATATGATACCGCGCGAAGCGGTTTTCTAACGTTTTTAGGCGGGGGTACGGAACCCTCTTAACACTTGAAACACATATACTATTTATTTTTAGGACGATTATATGAAATGGTATAAGTAATGATCTTTTTTTATTGGAAAATTTAATTATCATTAAACTCAATAGACGAACGAATGTAGGCCTAAATATATGTTTCAGTTTTTAGACGATTTGGATTTACTTTCTGTAAATGTTATTACATCAGTTAGAACTTAATTACAGTAGGCCTACAAGTTATTTCGAGTTTTACTTTTGACATTAAATGTAAACAACGCAATTCGTGTAGCAAACATAACATTGCAATCGGAAATTTAAGTATTATTTACATTGAAGCCATAAAATATAACTATAAACAAACGATTATAATCTCATTATTAAGATTGCTTATATTTAGGGTCTATAACTTTATCTTTGTATTTGGTTATTAGTGTGGTGATTAAATTTCTTACGATCTAAAATTACATTTTTCATACACACGCTATTACATAAGCAGATGGTTTGTTGTTTTACAGTATCTTTTTTGTTTTATTGCTGTCAGTCAAAATAACATTTTTACGCTGCTACTCGTGATTCTTCCCATTTTATCTTTTTCAAAATCTTCTATCTTCAAATTAAGAGTTAAGTGTATTATCATCAGCCCATAAATTTTTGTTCCAAGATGGTTCGGCTTTACTTTCTAGAGATAGCACCTTGTCACTAAGTACACTAATCTTACTTTTTGCAAGGGAAAGTGCTTCATTTAATTTAAACTATTGTTATGCTCATATAGTTTAATACTAGTTTCTTTTTCCGTTTTTAACTCACTTAAATCAGAGTTAGTGGCTAACTTCGCAGCCCTACATTGGAGTACTAGATCATGTAACTTGTTTTCTAAATTACTTATTTAATTTTTGAGAAGTGTAACTTCTTTTTCAACTTCGTCCTGAATTTTAAACGAGTTGTTCATCTCCTTCGCTCTCAGTTCTTGTTCAACGCCAAGTTTAGACTTTAACAAATGAACTTAAGCATTTGCAGATTCCAAGCTTTCATGTTGTACATCAAAATCTAAGCTAAGATTAGTTTTCTGCTTTAGCAACTATATACTAGAAACAAGGTCACTTAAGTCTAAATCAGGATGGTTAGCTGTAGAAAATTTTATTCAAAGGTAAGAATTATTATTACATTCTCCATATTGTCATCAAGTACATCCCTGGATTGATACCAACTTCTTGTCATTACCATTATGGAAAAAAACGAATGTAAACTCCCCTGCAGTTCCTCGAATAGTTGAATTTCCTAAGCGCCTTCCGTTTCTATGATGATGTAGAATTTCGACTGTGCGACGCTAGTAGCGTTTGCTAACTTGCAGGCAAAAGATCCGGCGGCAGTTATGCGCTTCCCCCATCGAAGTATATAACACAACTGGAATTTTAGGTCCGTGTTCACGAAAGTGCGCCGTTGTGGCAGCCTTCCCGCACCACCATGGGGGACCCAGCGGATTTTAGCCAATTCATCGAATAGTGCGCGAAGTTATTAACTCGCTCCTAGCATTCAACAACAAAGATAAAGTACAATAATGTTTATATATTCGTAATCTGCATTAAATGCAGAATCTAATGGTATAAATAAATTTTACTTTTGATTTAAAATAGAATTTCCATAGTTAAAATGAGTTATCAATTTTTACATTGCGACATGAAAAAGTCAGTATGCGAGGAAGTATTTTATTTTTGGGTCAGAAGAAAACTGTTAGCGACAAAGTTGTAGTTGAAGAGATGATTTTTAACATGTGATCGAGCAATTTGCAATTAAGTTTGTAGTTTGTTTGTAGTATAGTGATTAATAGCGCGACGAGGTTGATTTTATGTCCCACCAACCTCCTCAGTCCAGCAACATGTTTGTGCTACTCGATCATTGTAAAGCTAAATCAATTTTAACCTTTTTTAATAGTTGATATAAGTTAAAGAATACAACTAACTATTCTATTGATGTGATCATATATTTCATTTATTTGCAGAAGATAAATATCAATAGGGTCTACCCACACCGGGCTGCCGCCCATGAATGAAACTGTCAGGGACACAGTTTTACAAAGCCGTTTATTTCTCCAATGCTAGGGACATTATGAATGAATGTAACAAAAATAAGTTAGGTGTAAGGATTGAAGAAATTGGTTTTGTTTCACAACATGTAATGCAACCTTTGTACTATATTTAAGCACGATTGTGGGCAGTAAAACATATTCTTAAAAGTACTGTTTAGTATTATTAACCAAACCCTTTTCTCTTATGTGTGATGATATGAATTTTAAAACATACCTATACAGAATAACAATGACACTCAAAACACGTTTTACTAATCGTGTGTTTACAACATTATACAAATACTCATATTGTCAAAGGAACACGACTAACAATTTGATTTGTAAATTTATTATTCAATTTTTGTGATTGAAAAATACTTCCTAGGTCAATTATTTGATCTGAGCCTTAATATTTGAAATTTCTCATTAATTACCAAACAAAGCAGATAATACACGATCCCTTGTTACATTTAAAGAAAGGGGGATTACCAGTCCCTGTCCCTGTATCAATAGTCTACATTTTATATTTTAATTTACGGTAACATTGTATGTAAATAGTTTACCTAGAAGGTGATAATTCAGTATTTAGTTATGTGTTACCTGTAATAAAAATGAATTTAATATAACTATTGGTTGTACTCAAAACGTTTCTGGGAGTACCGTAAACGTAAAGATCAGCGGAACCAGTGAGAACGGCCCGCGGCACAATTTATAAATAACCTCTTTGCGTTACTAATTACTCCATTACACACGACTAGAAAATTTTATTTGAAATTGCTTGGTTATATGCTGGAGATCATCTCATCAGCTACAATTTTCTCGCTTGAAGTTTGTTTCTGACCAATACTGTCAGATTCTGCGTTTAATGCAGATTCCGAATTTATAACTTTAATTGCAGTCAACCTTTTGTATGCACGGCCAGGAGCGTATTAACAACCGCGTGCGTGGCTTGAGGAACTGACATATCTGCGTTGGGTCCCCCATAGTGGTGGAGGAAAGTTACCGAAACGGCGCGCTTTTTATCCCACATCTCCTATCTACCCGGTGTTCCAGTTGTGTTATATACTTCGATGGCTTCCCCCTGTGTCACAGGCGAGCGCCTTCAGATGTAGTTTGCAGCAAATCTCGATTGTATTCTATTCAGTATTCGCCTGAATTAAATTTGAGTCAATGAGTCTGAAGAGTGATTATATCCTGACAAGAAATTTAAGTTTAAGTTAAATCTTAGTAATTTTAATTTGTTTTGGAACAATTTGCAAATTTTAGAAAAAAGCATTTACTAAAATGTTAGATGGCGGTACATTAAGATACAACTTCAGATTTGTTTGTATAACCAAGTTCAAAGTTTTTATTTGTTTCAAAAATGTTCTATCATACCGTAGTGGATTAAATCAAACACTAAGTACCGGGAGTCTGAGCCTTGCTCGATTGTGGTTAACAATATTGTAAACATACATTTTATGATACACGACAAAAAACTTTATTACAAACTATAGACTTTTGATCGCTGAAATAATAACAACTCTGTAATGTATAAGAACTAGTGGTCGTCAAGTGGTCGAAAATTCGACCAAAAACATGTAATGTTCTTCTATTGACTATTGGATACTAAAGTAGACATCCCATCTATATGGACCAGCTGTCGCAATTTTTTTTAACACAGTTGTGTGAGCCAGTCACCGAATGCGTGTCTTAAATTCTATGTCCTACCTTATTTTTTGTTGCTGACAAAGTTGATGGGTCATAACAGTTGCTATAGCTCATAATAAGTCATTCCATAAGTTTGACTTGGTAAAAACAGGCTTCTACATTACAGGTACAGGCTTCTATATTTTCATCCCACGCTGTAAATAAAACATCTGATTGTAATTTCTTCCATTTGTTTTGATTTTCTGTTTATATTTCGTTGTTATTTCGTCGCCAACATGGCAACCCATAAAGCCCATGTTAATTTTTTAAATTTTCAAATCCATTTTTTGTGCTTATATTTGAGCCTATTTTAATTTTTTAATGGATTCTGCACTTCTACAAGAAAATATATTTCTAACGGTATGCATAGAATTTCCCTACGGTGGTGCACACGAGCTGAGGAAAAAGGTTTTAAAGAAACATGCTTGCCTATTAATATATAGATAGATGCAATTGAACAAAAATAAGATACACTTGCTTAAGTTTTAAGTGATACTCGCACAGAATGTTTCTCCCCTCTAATCATTGAAACCAGTTGTTTGACTTTTACGCTCACCAATGACAGCAGATGATATATAAACTAAATCATACTTCAATTGCTTTTAACAACAAATTTTTGCTTTATCGCTAATACTTTAAAGAAATTGAGATTTTGTCTTTTTTTTATTGGGATTTAGTATATGGTAATACAGTAGACTCCCTCTTATCCGGACACCTCGGGACCAAGGCCAGTCCGGATAACGGGTTTTCCGGTTAAGCCGATGTCCCCAAAAACTCGTTAAAACGGACTGTTTATGGTGTTATTCGACTTAAATTTAGGAAAGCACTGTATAGACATGTGATCACTGGTCTCATATCTTTCCCACGAGAACAGTAGTTTCAGTATCACCCACTTCCTGCCGATTTAGTCCGGTTAAACCAATGCGCTGATAAAAATTGTCCGGTTAAAGAGATGTAATTTCCGTCGAGTGTAGTCCGGTTAAACCGATGTCCGGTTAAAAGGTGTCCAGTTAAAAGGTGTCCGGATAAGAGGGAGTCTACTGTAGTTTGATGCCAATTAAAACCTTCAGATGTAATTAGTTATTACTTGGAATGTCTCAGTACTTCAGAAATTAAGTTCTGGTGGGATTTTAACTAAATAATATGTACCATTTATTATTTTTCTAGTTATAATGGATTCCTACCCAGTGGTGATAGAGGTCGGAGAAGAAGTAAATTTGTTCTTTATAAAAGAGCCACACCTAACGGGGTCAAAAGATCAAGACACTATGTGGTCAACACTCCACATTCATCACAGGTCTGTATCTCAGTCAATCAGCTTATAGTGTGGTGGCTTAGAGACAATATCGGCAAGGATCGTGACCTGATGGATTAAAGCTGCAGCTTTTGCACATTTCTTCCATACCCTAAATACAAACAATTTATGGGGGGGTGCCCGATTTTTAGGTCCGCCATCTTGAAATACGACGCCATCTTTGTTTTCTATAGAGGAATTGAATTATTCATTGAAAATGGCATAATATCACCCAAAAGGACACATTTACGCCATTTTGTATATAACATGTTTTGTTCACAATTAAATTTGCTATAAAATGAGATAAAAACCACTTCGATAACTTAAATAGTCTTGAAGATATAAACTGTTAAAGTTTAAAATTTGATATATTCCTCTACGCTACATGTAGTTTTTGCTATATATCACCCAAACGGTCAACGGTACGTATCTGTTATTATGATATATTTTATTCGTAATTAAATTTGCTACAAAATGAGATGAAAATCTCTAAATTAACTTAAATAGTTCGGAAGATATAAACCGTTGAAGTTATAAGCTTCTTTAATTTCTGTATGCAATAGGGCCGTGATTCTTAAAAGTCCCCGCGCTTTGTTTTTTCTGTACGTATTGCGTCAGAAGACTGCAGATTCACACATCAATACTGGACCTAAAATAGTACTTTTTAAAGTACTTCTTGACTTTTTTCGCCCAAGGGGGGTCGGCCCACAAGGAGTAAGTTGAAAATCTTAAATAAAAGCATAGGCCATGATGCATATCAAATTAAAGAGATTTACCTGTAGAACGCGTTACCACAAACTGCACTATAAAAGGACAAGTGGGTCAAAAGTTGTACAATTTTATAGTTTTGCTTATTTATTTATTAATTAATGGTCAACACCATTTCATCTCATCTTGATGAAGCTTGGAAAGTTCCCTCGGGGTCTTAAAAATGGTAATGTGCTGACCGTTTTCAAGAAAGGTGACCCATCCGTCAAAAGTTATCGTCCAGTGGTGGTACAACCTACATTGGCTAATATATTTCCAGCAATTCTACTTCATGGACTCTCTTCTTCTTTGAACAATGTCATCGTGCCCTATCAACATGGGTTCAATAAAGGGCGATCTACCTTGACCAATTTGGTTCTGTACCAGGATGACATAATGCAAGCCTTTTCTCGTAACCATAAGGACGATTCTGTCAATTTGAACCTATCCAAGGCTTTCGACCGTGTAAGTCACACTTATCTCGTGGCAAAGCTTGGTGGATTGGGGATCACTGAATCATACTCGTATGATTTGAGGACTATTTGTGGAATCACTTTTTAACAATGAAATTTGCTGGAGCGAAGTCTTGTAAGATTGAAGCTTCTTCTGGTGTACCTAAATGATCTCTACTGGGACCAATTTTATTTTCAATATTCATTAATATATGGCTGACGTTGTCAAAGATTCTTGACAACCGGGTTCATTCGCTCCTATTCCTCTGATAAGACCACCATTTTGAGAGAGATGCCTCAGGGCTCTGTTTTAGGACCTACCCTATTCCTGCTCTTCATTAACACCCTTCCATCTTGCATATCAACCGCCAAACCAACACTATTTTCTGATGACACCTCACTCTCCATTTCCAGCCGCACCATCAAAAGCTTGGAGTTCACTACCTTTCGGGAAGCAATTAGCTTAATCGAGTGGTTTGATTCCAACTTTATCTCCGTCAACGCCGAAAAAACCCAACTTTTGCACTTTTCTATTTCAAAGAGACTCTCTAATGGATTCAGCCTACTTCTGGATGACACAACAGTTCATCCAACTAACAGTGTTAGGTTTCTGGGACTGACACTATATAAACATTTTGATTTCTCAGATCACATTAAGCAGGTTTCAAAAAAGTCAGTTCTGGAATTTTTGTTCTACGTAGTTTAAAGAACACATCTACCTTCGAAGTTCTAATATCCGTATATTACAGACTAATATATCCTCATTTAGCGTATGATATAGCCTATTCCTATAGCGTATGCTATACCTATATGGGACTATAAAATTTTAAAAACTAAATTTCTATTTAAATTCCAAAAATCGGCTGTACGAACAGTTTTATCTCTGCCCAAACGCAAATCATGTAAAAAGTTTTTCTCAGAATCGAAATGCCCCCAGCAGAACATCAATGGAATTTCAATGTGGTTTATGCAAAATGGAATGCTTTTGAATGAATTCAAGTGAATGATAGTTTCATTCAACAGGACCCCAACAACCTCTCTTTTTAACTATTCAATAAATGGGAACTTATTAGATCCCCCCTTATTAGATTTGTGCACTTGTTAGATCCACCTCTGTCAACGACCTTGGAGTATCATTTACATCATATCTCAACCCTGATGATCAAGATAACAGGTTAACAAGGAAAGCAAACTCAGCCCTTGGTTTCATTCTGAGATTATCCAGAAATGGGTTCTCTGTGTGGGCTGTGCTCTCCTTGTTGGAATATTGTTCTCCTGTATGGTCCCCATTTATACAGTTGGTCGTTCACAGGACATCGAAAGAGTGCAGCTCTTGTTTTAGAATCGTAGGACTTCTTCTGGGATACCCATTCAGGGATGTACCCATTTGAGGATCTTCGACAGCATCTTCGGCCAAACCACTTGAGTTCTCGAAGGCGTATTACTGACCTGGTTATGAGGAAGAATCTCATTGCAGAACTTGACTCTCCTGATCTGCTGAGCAGGGTAAATTATCGATGCTCCAGACCATCCTGATCCCAGAACCTATTTGAAAGGGGATATCATTCTACAGCATATACCTACAACAGCACGCTACCAAGACTACATCGTTTGGGAAACAGTATTTATAAAAATCTCGAAATTTTCTCCTCAAGTTTTATTACTTTTAGGAAATAGCTGCTTGCTTGTTTCTCATAATCCTTGGTGGTCCATAATACAGTAGAGTGGTCCTATGATCCAGTTTGTTATTGAATTTCTTGTTTGCTTTCATATTTATTAAAATGTTGATACATGTTGATAGAATTTTTAAATATTATCACATTAAACCGATCGATTTATGGAATTCCAGATTTATTTACATCTTTTTATATTCAATTCTTGATAAGTTTGTTGTACGTTTATTCTTGTTGATCATTGTTTTGCTTGTTAATACTATTGTTTGTTATGTATGATCCTTGTTGTTAAGTTCCGTTACGTATGTTATATGATATGCAATGAGATGAAATGGTGTAGACCGTTAATTAATAAATAAATAAGCAAAACTATATTATTGTATAACTTTTGACCCACATGTCCTTTTATAGTGCAGTTTGTGGTAACGCGTTCTACAGGTAAATCTCTTTAATTTGATATGCATCATGGCCTATGCTTTTATTTAAGATTTTCAACTTACTCCTTGTGGGCCGACCCCCCTTGGGCGAAAAAAGTCAAGAAGTACTTTAAAAAGTACTATTTTAGGTCCAGTATTGATGTGTGAATCTGCAGTCTTCTGACGCAATACGTACAGAAAAAACAAAGCGCGGGGACTTTTAAGAATCACGGCCCTATTGCATACAGAAATTAAAGAAGCTTATAACTTCAACGGTTTATATCTTCCGAACTATTTAAGTTAATTTAGAGATTTTCATCTCATTTTGTAGCAAATTTAATTACGAATAAAATATATCATAATAACAGATACGTACCGTTGACCGTTTGGGTGATATATAGCAAAAACTACATGTAGCGTAGAGGAATATATCAAATTTTAAACTTTAACAGTTTATATCTTCAAGACTATTTAAGTTATCGAAGTGGTTTTTATCTCATTTTATAGCAAATTTAATTGTGAACAAAACATGTTAAATGCAAAATGGCGTAAATGTGTACTTTTGGGTGATATTATGCCATTTTCAATGAATAGTTCAATTCCTCTATAGAAAACAAAGATGGCATCGTATTTCAAGATTGCGGACCTAAAAATCGGGCACCCCCCCATAAATTGTTTGTATTTAGGGTATGGAAGAAATGTGCAAAAGCTGCAGCTTTAATCCATCCGGTCACGATCATTTTGCTAAGCCACCACACTATTACTTGAACATAACACAAGGAAAGTTATAACAACTGGGAACATGTAATTTTGTGAAATTTATAAGACGTTTTTGACTTGGGGTGAATTATTTGTTGTGAATCGTTTAGCCTCTAATTGCCGTGTGTCACAAATTTTAATAATGACATGTTTTATAAAGTTATTTGAATCCTTTGAAAATAAATTTAATTGATTAATGTAGTCTTAAATTTATTACAAATTGTATTGTAATTAGGGATGGACGGGTCCCGAAATTTCGGGAATTTTTCGGGAAAAAAATATTCCCGATTATCGGGACGGGATTACATTTGACTCGGGAATTTTTCGGGACGGGATTTGGTCCGATCGTCGGCGATTTTTCCGCTTCGCGAGTGCCGATAACGCCGTTATTGCGAGCGATAGGTCCGCGAACGCAGGAGACGAAGTCATTTCGACGATTACGCCGTGACCGCGGAGTCATAACGACGATCGCGCCGTGGCCGCGATTATTGGACCGACGATCGCACCGTGACCGCGAGTCATAACGACGATCGGGCTGTGACCACGGAGTCATACCGACAGTCACGCCGTGATCGCGAGTCATACCGACGATCATGCCGTGACCGCGAGTCAAACCGACGATAGCCCCGTGACCGCGAAGTCATACCGACGATCGCGCCGTGACCGCGAGTCATACCGACGATTGCGCCCTGACCGCAAGTCATGACGACGATCGCGCCGTGACCGCGAGTCATACCGACGATCGCGCCGTGACCGCGAGTCATGACGATGATCGCGCCGTGACCGTGGAGTCATAACGGCGATAACCCCGTGACCGCGGAGTCATACCGACGATCGCGCCGTGACCGCGAGTCATGACGACGATCGCACCGTGACCGCGAGTCATGACGACGATCGCGCCGTGACCGCGAGTCATGACGACGATCGCGCCGTGACCGCGGAGTCATACCGACGATCGCGCCGTGACCGCGAGTCATGACGACGATCGCGCCGTGACCGCGAGTCATACCGACGATCGCGCCGTGACCGCGAGTCATACCGACGATCGCGCCGTGACCGCGAGTCATGACGATGATCGCGCCGTGACCGTGGAGTCATACCGGCGATAACCCCGTGACCGCGGAGTCATACCGCCGATCGCGCCGTGACCGCGAGTCATGACGACGATCGCGCCGTGACCGTGAGTCATACAGACGATCACCCCGTGACCCGCGAGTCACAAGTTTCTATAGGTACCTGTAAATTGTTACCCATTTTTTGGTTTTTATAGATCAGTGCCACAAATGGTAAAAATTGATTTCGTATGTCTTTTTTGGTAACTGCAATACAGTACTTTCTTTTTATGCACAGAAAAAAATCCCGTCCCGTCCCGTCCCGAAAATCGGGAAGGAAATAAAAATCCCGTCCCGTCCCGTCCCGAACTAAAAATTCAATCCCGTCCATCCCTAATTGTAATTCAATTGTCTTCCCTTCTGCCTTGATGAACCCGTACTGAAGCCCCATCACAAGAATAACACTCTCATTGAATAGTCATTGAAAAGTCTTTAATTCAGTCTTTAAACAATACAGTATTGTTATTGACATCGCCATTATTATTGTAAAGAGATATAAGATGCAATACTTATATAATTAATAAATTAGACATTAAAAAAATCCAAAATGTAGACTGCCCTTCATTTAACAGGTTTAAAATAATTTAAAAATAGGCAAACTTAACAAACTTAAATTATGAATGACAGTGGGTCTTTTTTAAAAAAGGCTAATGGTTTTCACAGGTGTAACAATTAACATAGAGGGACAAAATTTCTATCATTAAATCACAGATGGAATATGAACTCTTCTCTTGAAGTCCACAAACAATCTCGATCCTAGACTCTTCATGAATATGTTATAGGTTACGTACCTTTTTGTGTCGTTAATCAATTATTTATTATAAAATGACTAGTTTCGTAGCGTTAAAGCTCAATTATCAAATCCCCAAAGATCGCCAAAATTGTCATAAACACATTTAAGCTTATTAACAATCTCTTAAACTGTAAAACAAAAATTTGTAACATTAGTTTTTTCACCATTATTGTTGTGAGAAATATTAAAACACTTTGTTCTGAATTGAAAGTGAGCTGTGTTTTCAAAATTCAGGACACAAATTCTTCCCACATAGGGAACATGCCTACGCACTACAGCAATGACCTCTTGGTTGTCTGCCAGGTTGGCACCAAATCTAATAAAAGTTGATACACAAAAGAAAATTGAACATCTTTCCTTTACCTAAACAATATATAAACACGATTTAAAAGTTAAGAAAAAAAGAACCATAAACAAAACCATTTGGTCTAAAATTATACATTTAAATCAATTTGTTTTTAGCAAATTTCTCTTATAGGGAATAAGCTATTACCGTAGGTCTCATGGTAAGACCTAGACCCGGGACCGATTTACTTTTTCGTTTGGAGGTCCTCATAGGCCAAAAACACCATCCGTTCAAATTCATATACAGGGTTGGGCAAATGTGTGGATACCCCTAGTTAACTTTTTAATGGGTGACACCAGGAAAACTAAACTCTACATACCTTCATAAAAAATAAAATGCACTTTTTGGACGGTATCCCAATTTTTCCCGGGACCCCAAAATGGGGTATTTCGGGGGCAGCTCAACAATGTTAAATGTAAAGCCCCATCGAGTGACACCTCATTTTAAAGGCCTTTATTAAAGAAGAATATCAGCGAAAACTAGAGGTCTCTATCTCAACCCAGTACGACATGGTGGTCATTTTAAATTTTCATCAGCCTGAGAGAACCCACTTAAATGTTGGCATCAATATCCCATATTAACTTTTTAGCGGGTTATACCAAGAAAACTAAACTCCGCATACCTTCATAAGAAACAAAAATGCACTTTTTGGTCGGTATCACAATTTTGACCGGGACCCCGAAATGGGGTATTTTGGGGGCAGCTCAACAATTTTAAATGTAATGCCCCATCGAGTGACACCTCATTTTAAAGGCCTTTATTAAAGAAGAATATCAGAGAAAACTATAGGTCTCCATCTCAACCCAGTACGACATGGCGGTCATTTGAAAATTCATCGTACAATTTAACCTCATTAAAAGTTTCTCTCAGGCTGATGAAAATTTAAAATGACTGCCATGTCGTACTGGGTTGAGAAAGAGACCTCTAGTTTTCGCTGATATTCTTCTTTAATAAAGGCCTTTAAAATGAGGTGTCACTCGATGGAGCTTTACATTTAAAATTGTTGAGCTGCCCCCGAAATACCCCATTTTGGGGTCCCGGGAAAAATTGGGATACCGTCCAAAAAGTGCAGTTTTATTTTGTATGAAGGTATGTAGAGTTTAGTTTTCCTGGTGTCACCCATTAAAAAGTTAACTAGGGGTATCCACACATTTGCCCAACCCTGTGTATATATATAGCCTATATATGTGTGTGTGTCCGTTAGCGTGATAACTTGAGCAAAAATGATCCGATTTTGATGAAATTTCAAACAAACGTGTAAACCTAGGTTTATTTGAACGAGTTTGCAAACCAGCATAATCGGACATTAGGACAGGGGTTTATGGGGGTTTTATGGGTTAAAAATGGGTTTTTTTCTCTTTTTTGACCCTAAAAACAAAAGATTTTGCAGTTTTTTTTCTAATCCATTTTGTGGAGCTTAAAAAAAGAAATAATTTAGTATATTGAAGCGCTGTTGTATGCCTAACGGTCACGAAGAAAATTTGAAAAAATTGTAATATAAAATTCTCATGTTATTCTTATGGAGGAAATGAAAACTGTTGTAGTTTACTTGTTTATGGATATAATGTTGATAAAATTTGGCAAAACTATTTATTTCATACTATACCATTGACACGGTCAAAAAACACTTTTTACCTTCCCCGTAGCAGCAAACCTAAGTACTCGTCAAATCTAATGTTATTAAAATTGGGAATAAATATGTCTTATTTAAGGAAATATTTTAGTAAAAATGTAACCAGACAAGTTGAAATTCGCTTAGTCTGCAGGTTTGCTGCGGCGGGGTTTTTTCTAGCGTTGATAAAAAAGAATCTGTTTAGAAGCTTCTTATAATAATCTATTTTTTATTATGTATTAAATTCTTGTATTGGGAACTCACATGATACAACTGCTAAGCAGCGCTTTAAAAAAAATGTACACACGCTCGCTTAGCAAATTAAACACTTTGGTTTAGTACTGAAGGGTTGTAACATCAAAATTTAACTGTAGCAAAATAAGTGTTAAAATAGTTTTCTCAACACATTAACTAATATTTCCTATGGTGGTAATTTTTACAGGCAATCTTGGATTCAAGACAACACTCAATATCATACACTCTGTCCAGAAATCAAGCCATTATTGTTGAGTACATGCCCGACGAGGAAACAGACATGTTTCAGGTAACATTTTTAATATTTCGATCAATATTAATCACAATTTTTAGTTTCTCCCCTATATGTATATATAATATGGAGAAAGTATAGTTTTGTCAAAATTTTTGAGTTTGAGTTTTGAGTGGATATATCGGTTTTGGGTCCCCCTGGGCCCCAAAATGTGGTTTTTGAAGTGATGTCTGTGCGAGTGTGTGTGATGGTGTGTGTGGATGTGACAGAGCTACAGACTACACCCATAGTACGATTTTGATGAAATTTGGTATGTGGTACTAATCCATGATATCTCCAGGTGTTTTTTTTCATTTTTTTGAAATTTTGATTTTTATTGGGATTTTCCCATAAAAACCCATAAAATAACAGAAAAATCAGATTTTCTCGGAAATGGCCCGAACGATTTTTATAAAGTTATAGTCCTTATATTCTGAACAAAATGGTACAAACCCCATTTCCGTAAAAATTACGGTTCAAAAGTTATTGTAACTTATGTTATTTTCCCATAAAAAAATTCCATTTTAATATAAAAAAAAATTAATTTTGGAAAAAAAACCCGGTTTTGATTAAAATTAATATGTAATGGCCCTTATAATTCTAAATTAAATAATACATCCCCCATTACTGCAACAATTACAGCTCAAAAGTAACCCTAGAGCAAGGTTATTTAAAAAAAAAGAGGTTGCCTCAGTCGCGCATATGACGTCCACCCGCCGCCTCGGACGGTGCTGCTTTTAATTCACACAGCTACCACCTGTCAAATTCTTTGTTATTGTTGTTAGTATTTGTGTAAGTTCCGTGCCATTAAATAAACGATTAAGTAAAAGCAAGTAAAAGTAAGCTAGCGGGCGGGAGTGTGACGTTATCCGCCAATCTGATCTATAGATTTGTTTACGCCACTACCACGGTTGTAAAAGTACAAAAATTATCGTTCATCTGGCAACTTTGATTGAAGTTTAAACTGGAACTGATCTATCTGCCAGTGCCAAGACCCGATGAGATTGCCATCGATGTTCCTTGCAATAACTTATCGGCTTCTAAAACTACAATGAACACCAATATGGATTCAAGTGAAAAAATATTACGCAATAATAGCTTATTTTTATTTGTTTACCTAACCCGCCATGTTAAACTTCCCTATCCTAAGCGTGATGTATACAACTTCCTTACTACTCGAGTGATGTAAAGTATCAAAAAACTCACTCGGTGATGTAATGAAACCCATTTAAATAACATTGAGTGGATAACTTAAAAAATATAACTCTATGGAGCCAACGACGTTTAACGCTAGAAATCAGCTGTGTGCTTGAATTTTATTGTTATTGTTATGTTTTGGAGAATTTTCCTAACCTAGCTTTTGTTTGTAAATGAACCTTACTGTTATAAGATGAGTGAAATGGGTAATGAAAAATATTGTTCGTAACCTCCTGTATATTGTCGGGTCAGGTAAAATCTTGTACGTTACACGTTACGCAAGAGCGTGTTTACATCACTTAGGTAAATTATGCAACTCGCTTCGCTCGTTGCACAACTTTCACCTGCGTGATGTAAAAACGCTCTTACTACACTTGTAATGTAAATAGCTATATTACCCTACTATATTTTGGTATAAAATATTTTGATGACAATTCAAAATAAATCTAATACTGTACTCTATAATATCTTCAAGAATCATCTGCCTATGATTTACTAGTCATGAGACTCCATTGTTGACTATCGACTAATGTAACTCGATGGATTCATTCAATGCTTTATTTTGTTTAACTTGCCGTATCGTTATCGAGACTTATTGTTGACTGTTGTATGTTTTAGGTAGAGGTGTGCGGATATCCGAAAAATCGGGTCGGATTCGGTTCGGGCCCAAATTCGATATCCGAAACTATCCGTTATATATCAGACTTTTTCGGATAGACAATATATTTTGACGTTTTGGACAGAAAACTAAATCTCCATAGCCACCATTAGTTTCCCGGGACAAAATTACAGCAATACGTTTCCAACGACCTAACAGCAAACAGCAAAGAAGCCGTATGATGCAATACTGATAACTAGTTTAGTCGTTATCGGCTGTTTTGCTTTACAATTAGATTCGTCTGGAACGAACAGACATAAAGCAGAAAAGAACTACCATGGTCAAATGAAAGTCAACTCGTGCTTGTCTCGCTCCTGATACTAGGGGCGCTGCGTAATAGTTTTTTTTACAGTACTGTTTCAAAGTAGAAAAATCTAGCCTACTACTGTGATGTTAGTAAACAATAGATTTAACGTTTCCCGAAAAAAAGTCAGAATAGAAACAATAGAAAGGTAACACAATAGAAGGGTGGGAGGGGTTGGGCAATGACCTCGAAAGGAGCGCGGGTATGAGTCAAGTAGGACCGGAGGGGGAAGGGGTGGGTAAGACCTTGAAGCTATATATAGACTTGCACTACTTCCCTACTTCCCTAAAGGACTGGCTGGTGAGTGGTATTCCAATCACAGGACAAGATACGTTGTTTTTTGGGTATTCATTGCCCGGTTTGACTTTGGATTGTCTTACTGTGTAGAAACTTTGAATAGTAAAAAATAAAGTTAGAACTAACCACGATTATTTAGCATTGATTGTGTACATATTAAATGATTAAACTATAGGGACCATGGATATATACAAACTTTTGTTGTGATTTTAATTTCAACATCAAAATACAATATTGCACAATCGTGATATTTTAGGTCATTGACCTTTAATATGCATCCGGTATTGCTGTTTCAGAAGTTGATAAATTATAAATTGATATTCCCGTAGTTAAAAAGAATTATTTTATAAACCTATAATAATAAAGCAAAATCATAAAATCTTACACAAAAGATAACAATAACGGAAATTGTAAAAAGGGTATAAAGATAACAACGTCGTTATTCTTTCTCTTTGTTCTTCTATTTCTTGGGTTTCCCTTCATCACGCATTCAACAAGTTGCCATGGTTACTAATCACCCATGTCGTTGTCAGCTTTTGTGACATAGCGCACAGCAGGGGGGTAAAACTTGACAAAAATCGGTTAATTTTTACCTATTATTTAATTACCAATGAATGTACTACTTTATTGGTATTTGGTACTGTATTAATAATCGGTCAAAATGGCTGATTTTTGTCAAATTTTACACCAAATTTATTGAAATTTCAAGGTTTTCAATAAAACAATTACAGTATTACCAAATATTTGTATTCATTTAAAAGATTGATTTGTGGTATTGGGTTCCCCACTGAGTGCAGCCGAGCGGCACTAATGAGGGTCGGACCTTCTTGGGGGTGAACAATAGACGGCTTATCAGACCCTCCCCTCCCCCGTGGTCTGGAGAAAGCTTGTAAACAAACTATTACACAAGCGTGAATTGACATTGGGCTGCTTCAACTATAATTTTGTCAAATGAACTGTGATGTTTCAAAATCAAAAACAATAATTTGGGACCATACTGCTTAACAATAATGGACTGCAATTATTGTTGAACATACAATCCATTTTTAACAAACTAAGATTATACGATTCAAATACAATTAGCTTCAACTATAATTTTGTCAAATGAACTGTGATGTTTCAAAATCAAAAACAATATGGGACCATTCAGGGTGTATACCAACCGGGAAAACCGGGAGAACCGGGAAATAACCTTGAATTTGAAGGGACCTGGAAAAAACCGGGAAAAAGCCGGGATTTTTGGACCGATTCCGTGATTTTTATTTTTGCCCCAGTAAAAGATTGTAGTCGTAAAATGCGTCTTGCCGTTATTGCGGGCGCCGACGATGACGTTTTCGTGACCGCGGGAGACGACGATGACGTTTCCGTGACCGCGGGAGACGACGATGACGTTGACATGGCCGCGGGAAATATTCATGATTTTACTGACGACGATGACGTTTCTCGATAACTTCTAGAGGCAATGATGATGTCTACACGGCCGCGGAAGATTTTCGTCATTTTCCGTGACCGCGAAAGACGACGATGATGATTTCTACACGGCCGCGTGATATGCTCATGATTTTGCCGTGATTGCGGCCGACGACGATGACGTTTCCGTGATTGCGGCCGACGATGATGACGTTTCCGTGATTGCGGCCGACGACGATGACGTTTCCGTGACCGCGGGAAACGACGATGACGTTTCCGTGACCGCGGGAAACGACGATGACGTTTCCGTGACCGCGAGATCAACGATGATGTTTACACTGCCGCGGGAAATATTCATTATTTTTCCGAGATCGCGGACGACGACGATGATGACGTTTCCGTGACTGCGGGAGGCAATGATGATGTCTACACGGCCGCGGAAGATATTCGTGATTTGCCGTGACCGCGAAAGACGACGATGATTATGTCTACACGGCCGCAGATGTTCATGATTTTGCCGCGATCGCGGACGACGACAATGACGTTTACGTGATCATCGATGATGTTTACACTGCCGCGGGAAATATTCATGATTTTGCCGAGATCGCGGACGACAACGATGACGTTCCCGTGACCGCGGGAGTCAATGATGGTGTCTACACGTCCTCGGAACATTTTCCTTATTTTGCCGTGATCGCGGACGATGATAATTACTTTTACGTGACCGCGGGAGTCGATGATGATGTCCACATGGCCGCGCAAGATTTTTGTGATTTTGCCGCGATCGCGGATGACGATGATTACGTTTCCGTGATCGCGAGAGACGGCGATAATGTATACATACCGCGGGAGATGTCCAGGATTTTTCTATGATAACGTAAGACTGTGATGACGTTTACGTCACTGTGGGAAGCGACCACACGACCGCAGGAAATACTCAGGATTTTGTCGCCGTAGATAATGTGTTCATAAAAAATTTAGATAATATTCAGGATTTTGCTGCTATCGAGAGAGACGATGTTTCCGGTAGCCTTAAGTAATGCTGATAATGAAAATTATTACTATAATAAGGATTATTATTTTTTCAACACTAGCTCACTGGACTTTGTTACAAATTTGATGTGTATTGTATACTTTAAGCTGCAAGTCTTA